GGCCACCTGGAGATTCTTTCTAGACTACACAACCCTTCACAGCCACACCTGCTTTTCCCAGGTCACACCCCTCACTGACTTCACTTCACATCCCCCTTTTGTTTTCTTTGCTGGAATTGAACTCTGATCATGACTCTTACATGCCTGGGTGGAGGGCAGAGAGGGATGTGTGAGGGTAAGGAAACTAGTCTACTGTGTAATGGTAAAATTCACATTTGTTGCTCTGCCTACTTTTCCTTCTGGCCCCATCCACCACTGGTATGTGACCCCCAGAAAATTACCCAGAAAGCATGTGGCCCTTGGGCAGAAAAGGTTCCCCCACCCCAATATATGATCTCTTTTGGAGGAAGATATAGGATAGAAAATTAATAAATAAATCAGTATAAGAAATATAATTTTACAGTTTTTCAGAAACCTAAAGCAAATCCCTTTTAAGCTTTAGAAAGCAGAGAGGACTTATATTCCAACAAGCAAATTGTGTGTTTCTAGCCTTGCAGGCTTATGAGGTTCTCACTAGCCTTTTCATTCAGCAAAATCTTTAGGGCTCACATCCTGTTTTTGAATCTGATATATACTAAACCAGTTTGTGGGTTCTGTATGCACCAGAAGATTCCATTCATGCCAAAAGCTTAAAGTCTGAAAAATGGTGGAATTGATCAGAGCTACTTTATTCCCTCTCAAGTTCTTATTCCCTCCCCTCCCTTCAGAATCTCCTGACACACAGCAAATTAGCACGTAAAGAAGAACCAACATGCAAACTCCTCTCTTGATGTGCTAGCTTTCTACATGAAGGAACCACTCTCAACATGCAGACTAATACACTGGCATTTTAAAGCAGAACAGTCCCAGCTAGGAGGGCTGTTCAATTTGCATCTTCTAACATATCAATTGACATACCAAATTGCATAGCTGGAAGGACCATAAAGGCAATCTCTGACCCAATCATGCATCTAATGCAAGGTTTTCCAAACTTAGGTCTCTGGCTGTTGTTGGACTATGATTCCCATCAACCCTGACCACTGGTCCTGGTAACTCGGGGTGATGGGAGCTATAGTCCAAAACCAGCTGGAGACCCAAGTTTGGGAAACCCTGATCTAAAGATAGGCTCATCACCTCCTTACCTGACCCACCTCATTTCCCAGGGCAACCTACCTAGACAATAGGTAGGCTGATTATACATTTGGATGTTGCTGCACAAATAATGGTCCTGGCCCCTTGACCAACTGTAATAAAGGTACAGGGACCCCTGACCATTAGGTCCAGTCGTGACCAACTCTGGGGTTGCGGCACTCATCTCGCTTTACTGGCCGAGGGAGCCGGCATACAGTTTCTGGGTCATGTGGCCAGCATGACTAAGCCGCTTCTTTTTTTTTTTTTATAAATTTTTATTGGTTTTCAACACACAAAATAAAAACAAACAATAGACAATACACAAACATACAAACATATAAACATGTATAATTCCATACTCTTATTTTCTTACACCTTGCTTCCTGGACTTCCCCATACCTCCCCTTTTCCACATCCTTGTTTTAAATTTCTTCAGCAACTCCTCCAATTAGCTAATTATTCAAATCAGTTCTTTTAATTTCTGCCTTAACTTGTTAATTACAGCTGCAATTCTCTGTTTCCCATTTCCCTGACATCTTAGCATTCCTCAATTTTACAACAATTTTTAAGATATATCTTGAATTTCTTCCAGTCCTCTTCCACTGTCTCTTTCGCCTGGTCACGGATTCTGCCAGTCATCTCCGCCAGTCCCACTGACTAAGCCACTTCTGGCAAACCAGAGCAGCGCACGGAAACACCGTTTACCTTCCTGCCAGAGCGGTACTTACTAATCTACCTGCACTTTGATGTGCTTTCGGACTGCTAGGTTGGCAGGAGCAGGGACTGAAGAGCTCACCCCATCACAGGGATTTGAACTGCCAACCTTCTGATCGGCAAGTCCTAGGCTCTGTGGTTTAACGCACAGACCACCCGTGTTCCAACTGTACTACTGAATATATAAACTAATCTACAGTATTCAGGGCATTACTTCCCAACACAACCTGAACTCTAAACCTGAAGAGTTTTGTAATTCCCCCGCTAAACATTGATTGTTTGTGTGAGAGTGGAATCCCAATAAGAAGGAGAGGTCTCATTGTAAACCTGTCTTCCACCTCTGGTAGCCAGGTGTAGAAATTGTTTCTCTGCTAAGGTTACGTTCCCATCCTGCCAATGCTTATCTCTTCAGATTATTTAGAACTACTTGTTTTAGTGGGTTGCATTTTCTCCCCAGCAAAAGTGGAACCAGTTATACTTTCAGCGCATTAAACTGATCCAAGACTGTGCCATAAATAAATTACCAGTCGCTTTAAAACAATAGCCATTGGGAGCACTGGGAGCACTACATACTGCTTTGTGTCCGCTTGCAAGGGGATGAAATAAGACACAGTAGTGAAATAGGAGCTGGCAGGCAGCGGGGGGGGGGGGAGTTGCAAGTGCACACACCCCTCTGTCCAGGCAGTTTCTTGGCAGTCCCAGGCAAGTCTAGTCAGTCAGAAGTAAGCCACACTAAGTTCAATAGCACTTGTTCCCGGGTAACTGTGTGTCAAGTTGAAGCCTAAATGTGCTACTGGCTGGGTTGTATTCAGACTTCCTCATAAGGGGATGCTGAAAATGGGAGGTGATACAAGGAGGGCTGAATGTGGTGCAATCTGGCTGGTGTGTCCCATGTGCTTTCTCATGCACAATCCACAGCCTATTCTGATGCATGTTCTTGGTGCATCCTCTTTTCATTTACTCAGAAGTGAGTTCAATGGGACTTATCCCAAATGCAGTCCTCTAGACCTCACTAGCTGGAGGCCACCATTGCCACTGTCCTCAGTGACACTTCTTTTACCCAGCCATATCCCCTTCCCAGCCTTACATCATACCCTCTTTGAGCATCACCCCCCTCCCCAGACTCTGACTCCCCAGCTGAGATATGTCCTTAAACTTGGATGGTGCCTTTTTGTTGCCTGGGTGGAAAACAGAGAGGGAAGTGTGAGTGAAACTAGTCTACTGTACAAAGCAGGGGTGTAGCGTGGTGGGATCAGGGGTTCCATAGCCTTGAGCACATGATTTTGAAGGGGCGCGAACCAGGCACCCTCATTCAGGGATCCCCATCCCAGCCTGCCTGCTGTTGGGGGTCTCTGGGTCCTAGAGCCCAGCCTGGCCTCACTGCTGTGTCCCTGGCTCCCTTGCTGAATGATCTCCCAGTGTTGCGGGGATTCTCCTGCACAGGCAGGCAGGTGGTGTAGTGTAGCCCCACTTGTCTGAGTGGGGGAGCTTTATTTTATTTTATTATTATTTTAGTCTGAAACCAGTTCCCCCTCCATGGTGTATAAGACTGCAGTGTTGTGAATCTAATCTTACTTCATTGTGAGTAATTCTATTAAGCAAACCGGGAGTTAGTTTGGAGCAAACACTCATAAGGTCAGGCTACTGCTCTCTCTCCCATGGGACTGAGTGGTAGATGCAACATGATCCTTCAGGCATTTCCTCAGACACATTTTCTGTTATGTCTGATGGGGTGTTTAGTTAGGAATACAACTTTAAATGGCTTAGATTTTAATAGTCGAAAAAAAACCTCTCCTCTGTGAAAAAGCTGCTTATCAAAAACCCTGTGATAGTTTCCTTTAAGATTCCAACTTTCACTTTAGGCAGAATTCAGTGCAATCTTCAAAGTGGATTTCACAGCATTGATGCTTTTTAACTGTGTGATAGTTCTGAATTAAAACTGTAAGCCTAAGCACACTTAGGTGAGAGTAAACCCTTCTGAACACAATATTAACCATATGGAGAACAGATCCCCATTGAAAATCATTGACATGCTTAACTTAGGTCCAATAGTTTCAATGGGTCTACTCCAAGTAGAATTGTTGGATCCAACCCAGTGGGTATGGCTTCTGAATGAAATAGGACCAGCCAGCCTCAGATCCATACTACATCACACAAGACTTCTGAAGTACTTGGGAAAGTGGGCAAGAAAACGTTCCATTAATAAAAACCTACAGCCTGTCCTGAAAGATATTATACAACTGCATGTAGCTGGCAAGTTGAGAAGCTAGATCCAGCTACTTAGCCAAGCCAAGGGTTACAGACCCATTTTTCTTCTCATTCAACTCATGAGATCCCATGCTTGCACAAATGCACTATTCAGCCAGCTGGTGCACAGAAAAGTGTAGAGATGAATAAAACTATCAGAGTGATAGGCTGCTCAGTGTGGAAAAAAAGCAGCTTGCTTCAAGAGCTGTGGAGAGGTGGGAGAAGAGAAGCATTTTCCATCCTCTGGCACAGATCACCCTCTGTTTTCAATAGCCAAATGAAAGAAAGATACATGCTGAACTTTGCCTTTAAATTTTTTGGTCTGGAAGCCAGGCGCACACATTTCAGGAAGAAATTGGAATCCACCGCCAAACACAAGACTGGCTTCTTTCTTTCTTTCTTTCTTTCTTTACAATGAACAAGGTTCATTTGCATCTTTAAAAGGTTACATTCCCAATGCTATCAGTTAATCTCCATCACCCCTTGAAGTCTCAGAAACATGAATGACCCCCCCATCTCCCCATCCTCACTTGCCATTTTCATTGTGTGTTTGCTTTGCTACTTTAATTGGGGTGTGTGTGCCTGTGTGTGTGTGTGTGTGTGTGTGTGCGTGCACACCCTCCATTAGCATGCCTTCATCTCTCATTCATTCATTGGCTAATTTATGCATCCACTGAAAACACCATAGAAACACAGATCTGATCCCATCTGGCATTACACAAAATAAACAAACTTTTAAATTTCTGCATATCTATATCTGTATCTATATCATCTATATCTTTATCACCTAGTAATCTCAAAAGCATCTCCAGGTCCAAACTCCAGCAACTCAGAAAAAAAAGAACTATAAAAAAATGGAACCTATTCTAACACATTCACTTTTCCATCCCCTGAAAAATGTCATGCTCAATGTTGGAGAGAAGACTTACCTGCTTGCCTTTGATATGTGTTAGTTCCTTGTGCTGTGTCAAGTCTCCAGGGGATAAATAGGATGCTTTACTCTTGTCCGCTTCTGTCTTGAGGGGAAAAAATCAGAAAACTTGTCCCATCTATGGTATAGACGGGACAAGTCAGAGAGAGAAAGACAGAGAGAGGGGAAAAGAGAGGGAGGGAGAATGTTTGACAGTAAGGCAAACTCTGGTTGGAGTAAGCAGTTTCTGCTGGTTTATATAGCTGAGTAGATCCTTAGCTCATTCCACTGTAATGGGATGCCTTCAAGGCACAGACTCTGTAGTTTTGCAGTTGGCAAATTAAAGGCACAGGTCCTCTCTGGACCCTGCGCTTGCTTGTGTGGAAGACACAGGCACTCACATATATAGGCACGGAGGCACAAAAGGCATTTGCATGTAATTTATGATGAGAGGAAGGCATAACCGCACCCCCTTTCCTCCCCACTAAGGGACTGTGTGTGTGTGTGTGTGTGTGTAGGAAACTCAGCTCAAGGCATCAAATGATTCAGAGGGGAGAGCATTTCCCCAAGGAATATTGCACATTTCATTATATTTTTGTAAACACCCACCCACCCACACCCACCCCACACACCCCATCAGATCACTAAGGCTGCCAGGACTCTCCAGCACAGTCCTCTTAAGGCAGCACCATATATCCAGTGTGTGCATGTGTACACACACAAGTGTGAGCTAGTTTTCCAGTGCTCATGAAAAGTATATGCTTTGTTGATAGCTGGGGCATTTCAAAAGCAGATGCTTAGGTGAATAGAGTCAGCTGCGGTTTTTATTCGAGGAATTTTATGCCTTGCGCAACCTGCTGGAGTTGGGGCTACACTTGGTCTACAGGTGCCTCTCCCAGAGTTTTGACCGTGGCAGGCACTCACTGACCCCCGTGCTGACAGCTACCAAGCTGGGCACGGTCTAGGTAGAGAGCCTGCCCTACACTCAGTGTCTCAGCTTGATCAAGTCCCAGACCTCTTAGAATCATAGAATTGTAGAGTTGGAAAGAACCATGAGGGCCATCCCATCCAACCCCCTGCAATGCAGGAATCTTTTTACCCTATGTGGGGCTCAAACCCATGACCCTGCGGATAAGAGTTTCATGCTCTATTGACTGAGCTACCTTGTATTGTGCCAAGGACATTCACAACACCCTTGTGGAGTGCTCGAACAAGATCATGGGCAAAGCCCCACCCCAGGGGGTCCTTGAGGGCTGCCTTCAAGGTGTTTCTGCCAGATGTTTCAGCTTGAATTGCTGGGCGAGTGTCAGTTCCCAATGTGACCAGAAGGAGGCAGTCCTGTCAACAGAGACAGACAATGAGCAGAGATTCTCGTGGTCCTACCTTCTCTCCATTCCTTTATAAAATCCTCCCCATTTTAATATTTTAATGGGGTGAGGGATGTTTCAAATCATTTTTAAATCGTTATGTGTACTTTTAAGTTAGTTTTCTATAAGTTCATTTGTTTTTAAGGGGAGAGGGCCAGGGCTGCCTCAAAAGTACGGCCTAGCCAATATAATGACTGGGGAAGTACAACTTGGGTGGATAAAATGGCCCTACTCAAAGCCTTGGACATGCCTTTACCTCTGTGCACATGGGTGGTCTGACACTAAGTAAAAGTGAAACAAAAGAAGTGCCATGGTCAGATCACTTCCTGGCACAACTAGACTTCTGTGCAACCCTTCCCCTCTGAAAGGAGGTGGCACCAATTTGAATGGTCCAAATAGTAGGGGATACATTATCCCATGTTGATGGCCTCCCATCTGATTCCCTGGAATGCGGAGTTAACCAGGGCTACCAACTGTCTGTCTCCAAAGTGCCCTCTCTGCAGCAGCAGAGGAAGCTGCTTGGGTGCCGCGGGGCCTCCGGAGTCTGCCTGCCTCCTCCCACTCAGCCACCCTACAGCTGGGGGGGGGGAGGCAGCGGGCGGACCATTTGGGCAGCGTGGAGCCTGCACACACCCAAGCCACCACGTCTCTCTCAGGAGAGACACGTGGCTCGGGTGCGCTGCAGGCCCCGCAGTGAGTGCCGCCCAGCATTTCATCACCCCCCCAGTGGTGATACCTGGGGCAGCCCACACCCACCACCCACCCCTTCCTCGGTCTCTGCCTCTCTGATGCTGCAGAGAGGGCACTTTGGAGACAGACAGTTGGTAGCCCTGGTTAACTCCGCATTCCAGGGAATCAGATGGGATGCCATCAACATGGGATCAGGAAAAACTGGGGGGATGGGGACCATGGGGTGATAAAATAATCGCTGAGACTGCTAGAGCACCATTGGTGAAAACACAGGTTAGAGTTCAATGTTGAGCCTACCAAGTGGCAATAATGATAGTAAAGAAGGCCTTCTTCATCATCTCTTTTGCATCTGCTGAAAACAGTTCCAGGAGACTCTTTCATGTAATTTAACAGTACCACCTTCTCCATCAGGGTCCTGTAAGGACTCCAAAAATTATTTTGCAAAGTCCCCCCCCCCCCAGATAAACTCGCTCAAACTTGGAAAGAGGTTGACTCCACCACAGGGTTCCCAACCCATTATGTATGTATGTATGTATGTATGTGTGTGTGTGTATGTATGTATATATATATTTATATCCCTTTGCTGATTCAGCCACTCCACAGCCCCTGTGTGGGTTTGCAATGAATCATCTAGCAGCAGCAGCTTTTAACTGCTCTACAAAGCATTTAACAATGTGTGGGGCAAGGTGAGAGGAGGGAGCCACTTACTCTGATGGATGGATGTCTGATAACTTTACATGCAGTTCTCACTTCCGACAGAAGCACACATGCTGGAGCCATTAGCCAACCCAGGGACTAGTTTCGGGGGGGGGGGGTTGGAGTGGAGAGAGAGAGAGATTCACTGTTTTCTTGGGATGTCCCTAAAGTAGGGTGATACAGTAGGATGCAGGGAAAGAAAAGGCTGAATTTGCTGAGGAACACAAGGAAACCACTGGAGAAAACAAAGCATTCAGGGGCACAACTGAGAGGCCCCATCATGCGTTGATATTAATATGGTTTGCAGAACAGACATTATCTCTGTGGAGCCAGAAAAAAAATGAAGCTGCAAAACCCCATCCAGTCAGTCCAGCGTCCTGATCTCACAGTGGCTGGCCTAATGCCTGAAAAGCCCAAGAGCAGACCCTGAGCACAACAGCGATCCCAACATCTGTGATTTGCAGCAACTGGTATTCAGGCATACCTTCACTGACTGTGGAGAGTGGAGTATTCATCATGGCCATCAACAGACTTCTCCTCTGTTGATTTGTATAACCCTCTTTAAATAAAAATAAAAATACACTTTTTATTTCATTTCATTAAAAAAAATTATTAAAGATTTCTTAGTTTACGAAAATACGTGCATTGTGTCTTTTCAAGTTGTGTTTTCTACAGATAAGTTTCATTTGTTGTGAGACATTAGTGTTGCATGCAGTATTAGGTTGGGAAGAAAAGGGGAAGAGGGGAGGGGGAGTGGTGAGCGGGGTGGGGTGGGGTGGTAATGCTTCTATTCTACTACTTAGTGTATGTGGGGAGGGGGTTGTGTCAGGGTCACTTGTATGGGTTCTCTTACTATTCGCTTGTTGTATTTCCTCGGTGGTGAGAGAGGTGGGGGGGTGTCCTAGGAGGTGGTTGCTTGTCTTTGGTTGGCTGTAGTGAGATTTGTTTATGTGTGGGAGTGGGGGTAGGTGGATTTTAGTATACTCATTGAATGGGGAGGTAATACAAAACTCTTCACAACTGGTGCAGCGTAATGGTTAGAACAGGGATGGAGAACTGTTCTGAGTCTGAAGGATATATTATGGTACCTAATGGGCAGCTTCTCAAGTGCCTTTGCCTGGTTGGGATGTGTCCTTGAACCGTGCTCATTAACACCTCTTGCTTTCCTGGATATACAGTGGAGAGCTGCATGTTTAGAAACTTTTGGCTTTTGTGTGGCTGGAACATAGCTAACTGTACAAAAGTGAGAGCCTTGTCTGTTGTCCTGCCCATCTTTGGCTCCACCTTCTCCCACAATTAGCATGCAGCCTATGGAAGATTGCTCATAGGGATGGATCTGTCAGTTCTGGTTCTCTTTGTCTCTCCTTTTCCCCATCTTAAATTCAGTTCTTCATGTTGCTGCAGGAATTTACCCCTTCTATACATATAAAAAATTATTCATGTTTTAGTGCAATTTTCTCTTAATAAACACATTTTTTGTAGGCAATTTGCTAGTCGTGCAGCTTTTTTCAAGGCATTTAACTTGATATAATGCATGTTCCAAGCTATTTTCATTAATTTATTCATTTTTTGTGCACACTCCCCCCTAATTTATACATTTTTGTACACATTGTTTAACTGGAGAACTGCATAACAAAATTCAGAGAAGTGCTGATTTCAAAGGATGTCTGTGTTTCAGTTCTCGTATTGTTTTGGAAACTGTAAATAGAATTTCTCCCCCATCTCTACCAGTAGTTCAATGACAGGTACTGAAGTGCTGAGTATTTTTGCCAGGCCAGAAGTGTCTTTGAACTCTGATGTGGATGGAGGACAGAGAGAGGTGTGCGAGTAAGTGTAGAAACTAGCCTACTGTACAAATCTAAAATGTACATTCATTTCTCTGCCCACTTTTTCGTCTCTGGTCCAACCCACTATTTGAATGAAAAGGTTTCTCCGAAGGGAATGTGGCCCCTGGGCTGAAAGAGTTTCTATACCCCAGCCGTAAGCTTTCCTCAAACAATGAAGTCGTTCCAAGCTTCTGTTGATTTTCCTGGCCCTTTTCAACACCTACTCCAGCCCCGCATATCTGGAAAGGAAGCCACATGGGACGAGATCCTCTGATTAAGCCGTATAGTGTGTACAGTTCCTTCAGCCCTTGTGTTTTCTTCTGGGCCATGTATGGTTCTCCAGTTCCTGTCATGGTGGGAGGCCGTGGCTGATGAGGTCATTCCCGAAAGGCAGACAAAGAGAGCATAGGGAGGCATAATGCCTCATGTTTCTCTCTGCATTTCCGGCACAGCAGCGTACACCTCTGCTCATATCCTGCCTCGACGTCTTTGGGGACGAGAAGGAAACCTCCAAGCATATGGGATTTGACTTGTTCACATTTTCTGTGGTTAACTTGTGTGTGTGTGTGTGTGTGTGTGTGTGTGTTTAAATTATTATTAAAGACAGCTGCCATCCCAAAATCCCTTCCAGCAGATTTCAGTAGCTCCGTTGCAATGCTCTGATGACAGATTCTCTGCAATCTTTTCCCGTTGCTCAGCTCAGACTTGCAGAGCAGGGAAAGAGAGAATGTTTGGCAGTTCAGAAGGAATGAGTAAGCTGTCATTATGTTCGCTGTGCACGATTATGGAGAATTAAGATATAATCTCTCTCCCTACCCCCCACCCCCA